AATTTGTTTAGGCTTTGGTATTTGTACTTTAGCCAAACACCCCCACACTTTTTAAGTATTTGTACGAAGGTTTATGATCTTTCCATACCTCATAAGGAGTTTCGTTCCTACCTTTGTGTGGTACTTTATTTAGAATGTGGTTAGCTGAGAGAATTGCTTCTCCCCACAAATTCTGTGGTAAACCAGAACTAACCAACGTAGCGTTCATCATTTCTTTTAGAGTGCGATTTTTGCGTTCCGCAATACCGTTTGATTAAGGTGAATAAGGAGCTGTAGTTTGATGAATAATCCCAGAATCTGAACAAAATTCATCAAATGGTGCTCCATATTCCCCACCTCTATCACTACGAACAATTTTTATTCGTTTGCTTAGTTGATTCTCAACCTCATTCTTGTACTGTTTAAATGCTTCTAAAGTCTCGTCTTTACTCCTTAACAAAAAGACATAACAATACCTTGTGCGATCATCTATAAAAGTAATAAAATACTTTTTACCTCCTCTAGTTTGCACAAACTTTAAATCACAAATATCACTGTGAATTAGTTCTAGAGGATTCGAGTTCCTTTCAACTGAATGAAACAGTGTTTTTGCTAATTTAGCCTCTACACATGTTTCGCATCGATGATTTTGATCAAAGGACGTTGAAGGTAATAAATCTAAACTTACTAATCTTCGTAATGTATTAACATTTACATGTCCTAACATATCATGCCATAAGTTAGAAGACTCAATCAAGTAAGTAGAAGATTTATTTTTATTAATATCAAAATCACGGAGTACAGGCATTACATTCAATTTGAATAGCCCATTGGCTAAGTACCCTTTGCCTACAAACATTCCATTTTTGGTGAGTAAAAACTTGTCAGATTCAAATACCAGCCTAAATCCATTCTTGCTTAAAAGAGCTCCGGATACCAAGTTTTTGCGAATATCGGGAACATGCAGCACATTGATGAGTGTTACTTCTTTCCCTGATGTCATTTTCAGCACTACTTTACCTAGACCAATAACTTTTGATGTTGCTGAGTTGCCCATGAAGAGTTGTCGTCCATTGATAGGAGTGTAAGATGAAAACATCTCCTTATCCGCACAAACGTGACGAGTAGCGCCAGTATCAACGAACCATTCTCTCGGATTATCCACCATGATTGCTTCAAATACAACAGCCGAGAGCATTAGTTCAGACACTCCGTTAGACAACTTGTCTTCTTCAGTCAAGTGCACTTGGTCCTTTTTATTTTGCTTTTTCTGCCGGCAGTCCTTTGCAATATGACCAGGCTTACCGCAGTTATAGCAATCTCCTTTGAATTTCTTGGCCTTGCTCTTTGCTTGCTATTATTCGGGTGCTTCCTTTTCTTGCTAGTATTTGGCTCCACCAAGTTGACTTTAGCCTCCATTTGCTGCTTTCCAGACTTCTTTTCAACATTTCGATTGTCTTCCTCAATTCTTAATCTAACAATCAAATTTTCAAGTCCCATTTCCTTGCGTTTGTGTTTCAGGTAGTTCTTGAAATCTTTCCACATTGGTGGTAATTTTTCGATAATTGCAGCTACCTGAAATGGTTCACAGAGCTTCATGCCTTCTGCATGTATATCGTGCAAGATAAGTTGTATCTCTTGGACTTGAGTTATTACTGTTTTAGAATCTACCATTTTGAAGTCCAGGAATTTGCCTACAATGAATTTCTTCAATCCGACATCTTCTGTTTTGTACTTCTTTTCCAATGACTTCCATAGTAATTTAGCCGTTTTGACGGAACAGTATACGTTGTATAGTGTGTTGTTAAGGCAATTGAGGATGTAATTTCTGCACAAGAAGTCACTATGACTCCAAGCATCAAATGCTACTCATTTTTGAGAATCTGTTTCCTTCTCCTCAACAGTTGGAGCATCCTCTTTCAAGATTTTGATCAGATTCAGAGTCGTGAGATAGAACAACATTTTCTGTTGCCATCTCTTAAAATCCACTCCCGTGAATTTTTCCTGTTTTTCCTCGTGAGCATTGTTAGGGGGTACGACAGACGTACTAGGGGATACAATAGACGCACTACTACTTGCCATTATTGTTTTAAGATTGTTGAAAAATAATAGCAAATAATAGTGTTACCGTAATTTATATTTGAGCAGAGTAACGACGTTTGGATGGTTTTGAACGGTCGAGGCAAGAGTTCGACTCTTTCTCCTTAAAACGATAAAGTTTAGATCTCTCCACACACACTGGATGAGTGAAATGCACGAAAAGTAATTTTCGAGGACTGAATTATAAGAACAGAAATTATACAGGGACAAAGGGATAATTTCGGGAGAGTAGAAAATCAATTCTGATTTTTGAAATGAATAAAAATCGGGGTATGGGGGCCTATTTATAGATGTTGAAAGGTTGTGTCCCAACAGACACAACTGTCGAAAAGTTGTGTCCAAAAGACACAAACGATTTGGACAGTCAACCGTCACTTTGGACAGTCAATCGTCACTTGGACAGTCAACCACCACTTGGACAGTCTAGAGCACCGTACCACGTGTCACACATAGAAAATTCGGGGAAGAAAAAAAATTAATAACATAAAATATATTATTATTATTATAATAATAAAATAATATAATTAAATGTTATTTTACCAAAAAATATATATCAGTTTGGCCCAAGCCCACGACCCGTGACCGTGCCCGTGCCAAGGCGGTCGGTCGGACGGACGGACGGCGGCGACGCGCGTGTGGGCTTTGGCTTAACTTACTAGCATGTAGGTTCTCTACCCCTCAAAAACTATTGGTATCCCTTGGGGCTCAAACCCAAATCCTAAACTTGAGCTATATAAGGTGGTTTATATTCTTCTAGTTTTCCTAGGTGGGATTGGTATTTTCCAATTTCCCACCTATTTTATTTCAACATCAAGTGGACATCTTTCGGCCTTAATTTCTCATTCACCCTAAATTGGTTTTGAGAAAATAAATATACCATATTAATCTACTCATGGAGTAGAACACATTCGGCCAAAAAAATCTTATTTCCGATTAACGGGACCCACTAAATTAATTGGTCAAAAGTTGGTCAAACCAACTAATTAAAACCAAATTTTCCAACACATAATACATTATTCACAAATAATGGGGTACAAACACTCCCTAAAAGTTGTCTCTTATTTTCCCCCTTTTTTAGAAAAGACCGATCATTATTTATACGCTTGAGACGACAATATCAACGTTTAAAAATGTAAAGATACCTCTAGTTGGGTGTAACACTCATGTCTCAAAAATAAAACTTGAAAAAAAAAATAAAAAATTAGATGGTTAAACATTTGTCTATATTATAAAGTCAATTTTTATCTTTTGCAATCGTATAATATAATTATAGAAAGAGTAAATGTGTTATTTTCATTCGTGTTTTGGATGTAATTAATTAATTAAAAAAACTTAGACCACATGGCAAGACAGTGTTTTATAGGTAGATTTATGAAATTTCTTAAGGGAAACAAAAATGCAGAAAAAAAGGACGATTTAAGTACACATAACGTGTTCCTATACCTACCAATTGCGTAACGGTTTTGCTAATCTCAACGTTAAAACAATATTTATTTAAAGCAAAGTTAGGAAAAATATGGACTAAATTTGCTTAGCTTAACCAACCAAATTGTTAGGAAATTTTGCAACTACCATTACCTAATAAAAAATCTTAAGACAATACTTAAGGATTTGAACTACGAAAATAAATGACGAGTACCCATTAAAATAATAAGGTCAAATACGTATCACACAATAACAAAGCAAGCAATGGGTAAAATATAATTAAGAAATTTTATTTTATTTTTTAGAAAAAGTATATTCTAAATGTAAAATGAATGCAAGACAGAGAAAATTTTCATTGAATCAAATTATAATTGAAGTCACTTCGTTATATTTGTGGAAATGTATAAGATAGTTGGCAGTATTATGTAAGATTGGTGTTGTGAATCTCATGAAATGTGCAATTAAAATTAATTGGTGATATTGACTTTTTTTAATCAATTTTTAATCTACACCAAACACGTAAAAGTTTATATTTTTAAATAGACTTGAAATATATATTTTTAGAACCAACAAAGATTCTAAGATCAAAGTTTCGATATCGAATCATTGTAAAATTGTATGATTCGCAGTTTTTTGTCAAAAAAATGATCTGAGACAACAATTGAAATGGTGTGTTAATGATGCCAAAAAAAATAAAAAATAAAAACAAAGAGAAAAATTTTGAAATCTAATCAGCTGTGAAAATTTGAATTCTAACGAGTAAAAAAGAGTAAAATGCAATATAAATGCCGATATCATAAGATTATAACAATCTAATATGATGAACAATTGTTCTTTGTTTATGTCACTTGTAATACAACTGATACAATCACAGAGAATAAGAACGAAAAGTCTTTCATTTGTGCACCTATAAATAGAAATACTATATGATGTATAATTTTATTCCATTTCGAGTGACAGCGATCAAGAAAGTTATCTTTTGTCGAGATTTCGAGCACATTTGGGAAGTGTTTATAAATGGTTTAAATCATGAATTGATGGAAATAGATGGTAATTAAGTGAATAATACTTGAAGGCCACGGTATCGATTTTCAAAAAGGACAAGACATATTGGAGTATTATTTTTCAAATTTGTTATAACAATGCTGTTAATTTATGAAAATGACATTATATCCTTTTAAAATTAAAGACAATTAAACTTTTTTTTTAATCATAATTTGAGGTCTTTTAAACGTAAAATTAAGGTACTATTTATTAATAAATACACTAAAATCATATATTAGATCCAAAAAAATAAATCGAACTTGCACGGGAAGGATGGGTTGAAAACGGATGAGTTGTTGAATAATATTTGTGCCATACGTCCAAGAAAAATTGATGCCAGCAATGACGTGACGAAGTAATTGATAACCTAACCAAATGTGTAAAACCTAATTTATGAGAAAGTCAAGCAAGCTATAGGAATCACCTTTAAATGCTGTTTGTTGTGCAGTTGCACAATTGCATTTACTACTGGGACCAAAAAAAAAGGGCAGACAAAACTTATCTTTGTCATTTCAAATATATATGTATCCTTAATTTCTTATTCTTCTTCATCTGAGAGTTGTAAGAAATTTGTGCATGCAGTAGTATGAATAGCACTGAAGGGTCTGTTTGGCAGAGGAAAATAGAAGGGAAAATGGATCAAGAAAAGGATCAAACTGCCAGCTTTTTCTCTCAAGATTCAGCGATAAGTTGCAAGAAAAAGATAGGCAAAACTAAAAGGAAAATTTATCCTCTTTTATCATTTCATGAATTGCCAGATTATATGAAGGATAATGAATATATTTTGAATTATTATAGAGTTAATTGGCCTCTCAAAGAAGCTTTCTTCAGCTTATTTCGTTGGCATAATGAAACCCTCAATGTATGGACGTAAGTACTGTATTTTTTTTTTCTGAGAATTTCTTTTTATTTTCATTTCTTTTCTGATAAATTGTATTAATTATGATTTTTTAAGTTAATTTTCCCTTTCTCTGTGCAGTCATTTAGTTGGATTTGTATTGTTTTTGGGACTGACAATTTGCAATCTGACGCATGTCCCTCAAGTGGCAGATTTCATCACAATGTTTACTGGGTAAGTTCAAGAAATTTTACTTCATTTTCTTGATTTGCTCAGAATTCTAACTAATTAACTAGCATCTCATGAATTGATTGAAAACAAAGAAATTATGAACTTAGGGGGAAAAAAAAAAACACATGGATTTAAGTAGCTGCAAGGCACAAAAGCTATAAATGTGGAGAATATTTATTTCTTTAAACTTGTATAAACGCAACATGCCCCTTCGTATGCGCCGTCGATATTTTAATCAAAGATTTGACACTTGAAACTTTTATGCATAGGTGTCATGGACTTGACCTCAGGGTATTTACCAGTCTTTATGCAGTGTTGGATTTTGTCTAAAAGTTTGAATTGTTAAAAAGGGAAAAATTTAGGCCATGTTCGATAATGATTATGAGAATTGATTTTTTGATCGTTGGAGAAAAAAAGTAAGTCCTATCCGTGAGTGAAAAAGTAAAAAATGACGGCTGTAATAGTAAAATAATGATCAAAAAATTAATTTTTTGAGGTGGAAAATTGCTACCAAATGGGGTTTACTTCTTTATGTTTATCTCTTTCAACATATAAAACATTTTGATAGCTGGGATGAGGCTGGAATCAACAAATAGAAAATTTTTTGTAGCCCATACTGTCATTGTTGAGGAGCTTCTCAGTCAGAGATGGAATAAACTTGTTTGGTTGAAGTTTGTCTTCACACACCCGTTCACACGTAGGTCAGATTCATTTTTTGGACAAATGCCTAACACGTGCACAATTTTCACAAATGAGTAACTATAAGACTTGAACTCATAATCTTTATTTACCTAAAAAAATTTGTTCAACAATCATATAGCTAAATTTTGTGCTTTTCAAGTGATGGTAACAATTTATTTTCTTGTTTTATAGACAGTTTCCCTCTAGTGCAGATGCTAATATGTCTCATAATTCTAAAGATTTTTCACTGGTGAGTACTTCCCATCAGTTCTATGAAAATCATATTCGACTAGCATATCGATCAAAAAACGAATTTTTAACTCTCCAGCTTTTCAGGTACAGACAAAATTAGTAGATCTGAAGCGAGAATCCCATCTGAATATGGATAATACATTCCCAGAAATGGCTGCAGTAAGTTGGCCATTCTATGTGTTTTTAGGTGGTTCCATGTTCTGTCTCTTCTCAAGCAGCAGTTGCCATCTCTTTTCTTGCCATTCCCATCACTTAAATTTACTGCTTTTGCAAATGGATTATGTGGGAATAACTGTCATGATAATCACCTCATTTTTCCCTCCAATTTACTACATTTTCCAATGTACTCCCCACTGGCAAATTGTTTATCTTACCGGAATAACTATAATGGGGATTTGCACTATCATAACCTTGCTTTCTCCGGCCTTCTCGACTGGAAAATATCGTGCCTTTCGAGCTTGTCTGTTCATGTCCATGGGATTCTTTGGCCTTATACCTGCAGTCCATGCTCTGGTTGTGAACTGGAACGATCCTCACCGGAATATAACGCTAGCCTATGAGTTGGTTATGGCTTCGTCGTATTTGATAGGGACTTCGTTTTACATTAGCCGGATTCCCGAGCGGTGGAAACCCGGGTGGTTCGACCTCGCCGGTCACAGTCATCAGATATTCCATGTGTTTGTGATCATGGGGGCATTGGCACATTATGGTGCTGCACAAATTTTCTTGAGATACCGCAGTAGAATGGGGTGTGACTAAAATTTGATTCTTCTGTTCGTGTGTTGTGTGAAGAGGGCCTATTATAACCCTTACATTATAGATAAAAGGACACTGTTGCCTATAGATACTACATAGAAGGAATGAATGTACAATTACAATATAGATTTAAATGTAAATTTGTACATTATTCTTGTTTCTCTTTTATTGAAATGCGTTTATCTTGTTGCTTAAATTTCAGTCTGTTCAATACTAAATAGATATCTATATTTGTTGAATCAAATTTAAGTAGTTAGGGGTAGACTAATGATCTGATCGAGCCCCATTTTTATTTTTCTAAGAATGCATTTTGAAATAATAGATAAGTAGACAATATGTGATTTGCATATAATATTACTTATTAAAGAAAGTGTGATTGAAAAGAAAAGAGAGGGAAAGAATGCACTTTAAAATAATGGAGATCCAACAAGGGTTTAATACATTTGACTTTTCTGTATATCGAGGTGTACAAAGAGCAAAACTCTCATGATTTTTGAAATGTAAATGTTAGAAATACATTCCAGTTAATTCTAGAATATTCCAGCTCATGTTTATTTGTTAATTAGTTAGTGATTAGCCTATTAACAAGCAAATTAGTCAGTTAATTACTCGTCTTTTTCTCTATAAATAGAGCCATTGCATTCATTAATAAATCATTGGATTATATTCTCCAATCCCTCCTATGGAGGTTTGTCTTCTTCCTATTATGAAGTGTTTTCTCAATTAATAAATTCTAACAAAGGTAAAATATATGGCCTAATTTTTCCTTTTATTATTTTTGAGAAATAAAATTGAAGAAATTTTTATGGGTTTAGGCTGAAAAAATTATAAATGGAAATTACATACAACCAAAATTTTAGAGACCACAGTTCAAAAATCAGATTTAAAATTTATTTATACAAAAATCAGATCTTAATTCAAACTTTTAATATTAATAATAGTATTATAAAATTAATTAATCTACCATACGTAATTTCATTGTCAATCCCTTCTTGTATCTCTCCATTATCTCCCTCTGTCTCTAAACCGAAGGCCTCTCTCTTCTCTCACCATCTCTCTATCCTCTTCTCTCACCATCTAAGGCCCCATCCATGATTGTCGCCCAGTTGGTAGCTGTTGTTGTGAGGCTTATAATCAATCAAGGTAAAAGTTGACGGTAAAATACGGGGTACCATTATTTCTATCCACACTTTTTATAAGTACGTCCACTTTTAAAAATAAAATTTTATTATTTTTTAAATCATATGTAAATTTACTTAAATAGATATAAACAAAATTAAATAAAAATACAAAACTCTAAATTGATCCACTAACTTTTACTTTCATTAAATTATCCTAAATCCTTTTTTATTCTTTTAGAATTTGTGTTTAACTAGAATCGTAATACATTAAGAAAAATTACATGAATATAATTAGGGAAAATTAGGGTAAAAAATACTCTAAAAAATTTATGATAGGATGAATGATGCGTTGTAAATATTTGCATTCTAATACGAATTTTCCTTACAGATTCTAGAAATAAAAAAATAAAAATTCCATAGCGTTAGGAATGTATTTAAAATGAGATAAATACATAAAATGTATGTGGATATATGTCATTTAAATGAATGAATTTAGTAAGGACAATATTGGAATATAACGTGGATGTAAATAATATTTTTTTAAAATTTAAAATTTTTATTATGGATGAACTTAGAGTGGAATGTACTTATAAAAAGCGTGGATGAAAATAACGTTTCTGCTATTCAAATTGTTAGTAGTACTGGCAGATCATCACAGTGCCACTCGTGACGTATTCCGCGTGGTATCTTCTCATATGTGGTAGCATTTTTCCAACGGCAATTTTCACATGTCAGGAAGAAAGAGAAAAGAGCAGCAAGACTTGTGGTGTGTGGTGTGCAAACGGGAGCTATTGCAGACAGAGATGTTGGCATTTGAAGGGATTGTCGATGGCTGGACTTGTGGTGTGTAAGGGAGATGGGGTATGGTGGATTTGGAAGAATCTATTAAGGTGTGGGATCGAAGCGGTGATGAGTGCGGTGGCCACTACTTGCAGTTTGCATGGTGATGTTGGCATTCAAGTGAGTTGGTGGTGGTCGTAGCTTGGTTGTGTGATAACGTTATTTTGGATTTGATTTTTTAGTGATCTTTTGGTGGTGGTGATTATGACGTTGGCTGCGATAGTGAGGTGGTGGTTGTAGGTGGGATGGGATGATGGGTTGAGGGTTGTGATTAATAAATTGGTTGAATTGTGATTTAAAAAAAGTGATTGTAACTCACAATTTATTGAGTTGTGAAGAGAAATAATTTATGATCAATTAATTTAATAATTTATGATCGTTAAATAATCGATAAATGAATTGTGACTTATAATTTTTTTTAATTTGTGACCTATAAATAAATTGTGGCTTATAAATTTTTTTATTTGTAATCGAGAAATAATTTGTAACTAATTAATTTGATAATTTGTGACCAATTAATTTGAATTATGACTTTAATATATTTAATTAATAATATATATATTTAATTAATTATTATGTACATAAAATTTAATTAATATCTGATTTTTGAAGTTTTTAAACCTTATTTCTTAGTTTTGAAATGGATTATGCTTAATCTTCTAGAGTGTGTTTGATTGACATGAAAAATATCTCGAAAAGAAAATGTTTTCGTTGTTTTGAGGAAAATAAAAATCCCTTCAAAAAAATTTTTCTTAGAAATAACGAAAATTATGCATATTTTTAAAAGTTGAAAAATATTTTCAATGAAAAAAATAGCAATCAAACACTTTAAAGTAGAAATTTTTGTGAAAAATTGACATTTTCCATACTTTTAATTGAATTTTATTTAATTCAAAAATACAGCCTTTTTAATATTATTTTCACAATGTCTGATATTCCAAGGTGAAAAGATAATTTTATTTTCCACAAAATGATTGATGAAGAATGTAGCCTTGACCTAACAACATAAACTGCCAAAACACGTTCATTAACGTTGGAATAAGAAGCTGCCAAAGAAAATATCATAATTACACAGTACCCTGCCTACACCTGACCTGGCGCATAAGGAAAAAAACTACGGAGACCGAAATAAAGTAGCAGATAGAGACAGAGAGACGGAGAGTTGTACTGTACATGGAAATGTACATAATAATTAAGAATTAGTATAAAATATGGTAAAATATGTCACCGACGGCAAACCAAAACAAATTCATAGCTTGTTGGAGACTTTTCTTCTCGCCAGAGAGATAGACAGACCCTTCATCCAAATTCAATTCTGTAGCTTCAATTTTCTGCTTCAGGTTTGTACTTTTATTCTTTTCCGATCTCTCTTTTTCTTAGCGTTTATTTGAATATTTGTTCTGTTTCTTGGGAATTTGGTTTGAAAGATTGAGTAGAAAAGGGTGAGTGCATGACAATAAATGTCATATGCACGAAAAAAGGGTCTTATTTTTGTTAGATTTAGGTTTTCTTGCATCCGGCGCTGTTTGGGATCACTTACCAGTTTTATTTTTTGGTAATTTCATAGATTATGCTTTTTTCTGTGCTCATTTTAACATTACCAAGTTTACATTTTTTACATTTTATTTTATTTTTTTAAAATTTTTTTTGCTGTTGGGTTCTTCAGTATATGAGCCTTTTAAAAGGTTTTTATTGAAATTTAATTTCGATGAGTTTTTTGTTTGGATAAATATATATGTACAAACTATAGTTTGACAAAATCTTTTACTCTCTCTAGTGTGGACCCCGCATGTATTTAAAAAATGGCAGCTTGTGATCCCCGCCCTATTGTGAGTAGTGAGTAAAGGATTGTGTAAAAAAGGTTTATACATATAGCATTGTCCTTTTTTCAGTCTATTTATGTGTAGAGATTATGATCTACGTCAAGATACTTGGACTCGGAAGTGGATATCTGGGAGTTTATCGAGATGATATCTTAGAGTTAGATTCTTTTTCTGTTTATGTTAATTATGTAATTCAGATTCATGGTATACTGATTAGCTAGATTTTTAGGATGCTGAATTGGTACTAAGATATATGAATGGACAGAACTATGTAACTTTTATTTAACATAGTGCAGTAAAAGAATTTGTGCATTTGACCTCTAGTTCATTAGGCTCAATTCTTAACTTCTTGAGTTGTTCAAGATATTTATTGCAGTTATGTGAATGTACCTAAGGTTTATGTTGATCTATGAATTTCCATTGTGCTAATCTCTATCATTTATAAAGTACTTAGTATGCTTATGGTAAATTGAGTTTCATGATATAGTTTCTATTGGTAAATTACAATATGTTCAGATTATTTTGTTGCAGTAATTGAGATTTATTTAGTGAATTGAGAATTTTTGAAATGCTAACGAGTAGATCTTTGCCATAGAATTTGTGATTAAGGCAGATAATGTCGAGTGGGGGAACTCAGAATAGTTTAAGAAAAACACTTGGAGCTCTCAAGGATACGACCACTGTCAGTTTGGCTAAAATTAATAGTGACTACAAGGTATTGTTAATGATGGTACTTTTAAAGAATAAATTTCTGTGATCTCTGGCTTTATTTGGGTTCTTTTTGCAGGAATTGGACATTGCCGTTGTGAGAGCTACAAATCACGTCGAGCGCCCAGCAAAAGAAAAACACATAAGAGGTAGGTAACTTGAAGATTATGTGCATTGTCACATGGAGGATATGCACCAAAAGGGTGTCTTATTTTCTATTATATGATTGTAACTTGGCTTCCAAATGGCAACCTGATGACTGTTACCAATTTTGTTTTCAGCTATTTTTGCTGCTATATCAGCTACCAGGCCTCGAGCTGATGTTGCATATTGCATACATGCCCTTGCGAGACGATTGTCAAAGACTCATAATTGGGCGGTATATGTTTCAGACGTTGATAACTATTTACCTTATAATGATTGTAAATAGAAACTTGCTTGATTGGCAGTTTAAAACTGGGTAGACAAATAAAGTTTTTCTGGCTTCTTGTAATAGTCCTGTATTGTCTTCAAAATCTGTCAGTACTCATAATATAAATCTCCTGATATTACTTTGTGACTTGGACCTGACGATATACCTATAAAACAAAATATGTCTCCTGATAACTATACAAAATGATGTAAACAAAAGTCACTTGCCAATACTTGTCCCCATGAAGAGTTTATGTGCCTATAAATGGAAATAACATAAATCTGTTAGTTCCCTCACATCTTCCTTACCTAGTCATGTAAATTATCATGTTTCATTCCTTAATTTGGTACTTATCCTCAACAACATTCTTTCCCATATCTTTTATGCTTGGATCCAAGATATAGTGAATGCATCACAATTTATTAATATCAGTGTGTAATAACTGGTGGAACAGAGGAGCTGTTGTAATTGTATAAAGCTCTTCTTACTACTTACCAGTTTGAGCCTCACCCTTCCTTTCCATGTGAGGTCCATTTAGTGTTTGTGTAAAGAATGTACTTCATCCTCCTTTCTAAAGATATTTAAGTTGTTGTATTTGATGTTTAGATCACCAACTTTTTTGGGTAATGATGACTCCTTGAGAGTTTCAGTGTTTATCCTAACTTGCTTGTCTTTGACGATTAAATCCTTGATTTAAGTGTCGAACTCCTTCAATGGGGCTTTAGCTGTTAAATGAGTCAGGTCTTAAAATTGATTAGTTATGAGGAGGTAATAGCTGCTCAAATTTTAACAGATCTTTTACAGTCTGTTAGGATCCATGATTTTGGTGAGCAATACAACTGAAATATGTAAAAAAGGGCTTAATTTAGAAGCTCATGGGGGTTTCAACATCAAAACATATGATGCCAGTGGAGTAGCCTTATTGGTCGTAGACTTCTGTAGATTGGTATAAAAAATCAATTCATGACAGATTGCCTTAACCATCACCCTAGTGCGTGACATGGGAGAATGATCTAATGATGAAAACAATTCAAGATTGGTGCTAGAACTGATTTAGGCAATGCTTATTGACAAAGAGGTTGATCAAAATGATTTTACAGCTTTTTTGTATAGTTATATATAGAGTAAAGATTACCTTGGTTAGGACAAGTGGCATGTGCGTCCCTTTCTATGTAATATGTGTGTCTTGCCTGTGTTCCTGAACCAATTGAGATTAAGGGCTCCAATTTTCTTTGATTTTTTCCCTTTCATGGTGTTTTCTGTTCTGAGTTCCAAGATAATGGAACTTGGCATACGATTGTTTACTAGTTAAGGAGATATGCAACGGAGTCTCATTTGTCAATATTTAGCCCCCTTTGGCCCCCATTACGTGAAAAATTAATGGGTGGAATAGTTTTTTTTTGAAAAATGAGTGGTTGAAAATGAAGGAAAAATTTTCGATTTACGTGTAATATTATTTTATGGAAGATTTTGTGGTTGAAAATAGGAAAGAGAAAAATGAAATGTAAATTAATGGGGCTCAAACAGGTGCTTAATCTAATCTGAACTTGGCCTTATTACTCATACTAACATTTGGCATAAGCTACAGATGTGTTAATTTTTATGCATGTATATCTCCGTGCATATGTGAAGTTATGGACATGCACATGCATATATTGTCTGCAGAGAAAAGTCATATCCAGCTCCTGGATAATATTTCTTCGTTGGCACTTGACACTGCAAACACCTTAGCATCTCTCCCAGTTTTACTGCAACTTGCTTTAGTTTTCAGATGCCTCTGGTTTATTTAAAAATTATGTGTTTTCCTGTTCACTTGGTTGTCTAGTCATCATACATGATACTGGCTATTTCCTCGGTAATTTCCTCATGTTTTAGGTTGCCTTAAAAACTTTGATAGTAATCCATCGTGCATTGAGAGAGGTTGATCCCACATTCCAGGAAGAACTTATCAATTATGGTAGGAGCAGGAACCATGTGCTTAATTTGGGCCATTTCAAGGATGACTCAAGTCCAAATGGTATGGTTTTATTTTCTTGCACTAGCCCTGCAATTTTGCAGAAGGGAAATTTCTTGGTATTGAAATGCATTTTATCTCTTGACCAGCATGGGATTATTCTGCCTGGGTGCGTTCTTATGCATTATTTTTGGAGGAGAGGCTGGAATGTTTCCGAGTGTTGAAATATGATGTGGAGACAGAACCTCCGGTGAGAAATTTATTAATATCAACATTAGCTCTTTTTCTTTGTGCTATCCAACATTTCATTTCTATGTTTACCCGTTGGATTGAGCTGTTGATTTATACACTAGCTTATGTGCTTAAATACTTCTACTGGTTACCTTTTATCTTGGCCATGTGGTGCTTGAAGTGTAATCTGCAAATCTGTGCACCTCTGAATTCATAGGGCCAATTACTTTCTAGTCACTTTAAGAAACTTCACATCTTCCTTTCAATAATCTATCATAGTAGGACTGCTTAACACATTCATATATTTCTTAGGTCCTCTTTCCTTAAACCTAATCTCCATCATGTCAGTATTTTTTCACATAGGGCCAGGTTATATCTCTCATTTGAATATTTTAATTTTTGTTTAAATTTTTTGAAGAAGTTGAAGATCCTCATCAGTGTTTAAGTCAAATTGCTAGTACAATCAGAATCTAGATTTCCAGGCATCACGTTCTAGTGACCCACAGGAAAATTCTTTATTTGTTACTTACAGAAAAAATTCACTATCTGAAAATTAATATACTTGAACTATTTTCTTTCTTGATAGTTCCTAAATACAAATAATGATGCAGAGAACAAAAGATTTGGACACTCCAGAGTTGCTTGAGCAATTATTGGCTTTACAGCAACTTCTGTTTCGGGTTCTTGGCTGTCAGGTAATTTCTATCACCTATCTGATCACCAATTCTTGATCATTCATCAAAATTTCTGTCTTGGTAATGTTAAAGCTCATGTCTTAACTTAATATCAGTACATGGAATACATTCATTTGTCGCTTTCTCCTAATAATTTGGGTTATAACGATTTTAAATTTGTTCAGCCACAAGGAGCGGCAGTTCATAATTTTGTTATTCAGTTGGCCCTTTCTATGGTACGCGAAGTCTAAGTTTTCACATTTACCTTTACAATAAGAGCCTTTTTCCCCAATGTCTTGCGAAGTTTATCGAGTTATCTATTGCTATTTCATGCAGCTTGCCACTGAAGGCATTAAAATTTATAATGCAATAAGTGATGGTACAGTTAATTTAGTTGACAAGGTACATTATGACATGGAATAACTCTAAACTATCTGTTACTCAAGGAGCAATGAATTTAGTGTGCTTCATTCTTAACAGTTCTTTGAGATGCAACGGCATGATGCTCTTAAGGCACTGGATATATACCAGGGAGCTGGCCAGCAGGTACACCCAGTAGACATTAATTTTAGTAGTTAATTAGTTTTTGTATTTGTGGGGGGATTGTTTTCCTCGTACGAGTGTCTTTGTAATAAAAATTTTCCAGGCAGAGAAATTGTCGGAATTTGTTGAAGTGTGTAAAAATCTTGACATTGGCCGCGGAGAAAGATTTATAAAGATTGAGCAGGTTAGACTTTCTTGCAGATATTCTATTTTTGTTTGACTTAGACATTGAAAAGTTCCCCCCCTTACCTTTTTTTCTGATTAATGATGAAGCCTCCTGCATCATTTCTACAAGCTATGGAGGAGTATGTGAGAGAAGCACCACGTGCTTCCACTATTCGCAAGGATCTGGTATGGATATTGCCCAAGTCATTATATAAGCAATTTCTCTCTATCTTTGTATCTACACACACTCAAATGTGTGATGTTAGAGAGGGAGAGAGAAGGAATTCCCTCTTTTATATTGCTGTTAGTTCATGGGATGGATTTGAGTCCATCCGTTAAATCAGGCGTAGCAACAATACTAAAATGTGTATGCTAGCAAATTTTAAGCCTTTACCTATATTTGGTTGTGATTAAAATCTGATTTTAATTTAAGTCAAAGTCAAACAATCAATATTAACCACATCTTTCACGGGTCCCACAACTTTTCAACCACACATTTCAAAAACTTCTATCAAAATCTAACAAAAAATCTAATTTTAATCCCTACCAAACATCCTTTTTGTATATTTTAAGTGACCATTACACCTGTCATCAGATTTACAGAAAAGTTTTGGTTATAAACTATATTGGACCGACCCTTTTCACTACTATAACATTTGATTGCTGACCTGTCTTTAGGGGAGACCATTCACCAATATATCTATGGTCACATATATTTATATTGTAGAATGTAGCTCAGAAGTTCTAGAGATAGTTTTCATATTACTGAATAATTATTTTCATGACTTTCTGATATGTACTGAATAGAACGTTGATGAAAAGTCGAAGGTGATATTACCCATGGAGTACAAAAAGAATTCAGAGGTCAAGGAAGACTGCCCATCATCACCACCTCCAGCTGAACCACAACCGAAGCCGGAACCAGAACCAGTTAAAGTGGAAGCATCTGTTTCAGAACCACCTGATCTGCTGGTAATTAATTGGAATATTAACTAATTCATGATATCTAACTTTTCTTTGTTTTGGCAACTATCTGCTTTGAACAATGTTACGGGCTTTTCGACTAACCACATTTCTCTGTTGTAAAGGGTTTGGATGATCCTGTTCCAGCTGCCTCTGCATTAGATGAGAAGAATGCTATGGCTTTAGCCATTGTGCCAGTTGGTAAGTATTATTTATTGAAGATTGAACTTTATTCTTGTCTTTCTTAGCATTTGGATAAAATAAGAGTTTATTACTCTAGTTGATTTAATTTAACATTTTATTTCATATGTAAAATCCAATTATTAATAAATTTGAGGGCGTGTTGGTTATATGATGTCATTGAAGATCACTCAATCTTTTGGAAGAGCTGGATATTCATTGAATTCCTTCTTGCCATTTTAGGTGAACAACCAGCTTCAGCTGGGCCAAATCTGTCAAATGGAACTGCGGGCTGGGAATTAGCTCTTGTTACAGCACCGAGTTCCAATGGGAGTACTTCTTCTGCTAGCAAATTGGTATTGTTCACCATCTTCCTTGGAATTTTTCAGTTGCTTCACCAATAAAATATTTTATAGATATAAGAATTCTTTCTTTTATTGATTAAACCTTAACTTTGATAGCAATAATAAAGAAAACATCTCACAAGCACATATTTACAGTGGTTCACTTTCAATGTGAGTTACATTTACACTTGGTGAAGCAAAATTTTCACCGTAGACTAGAATTTTTTCCACACGACTGTGTCTTCTCCACTAAAAAAAAATGTCCCTTTAAATTTCGTTATATATGATAGGAATATTAGGGTGATATCAAGTGGACAACTCAATATGCCTCTAAATAGAAACGTCTCACGTGCACTGCCTCGAATCAATTAATAGGGAGGGGATATTTTATTCTTCAATCTGAATTTATTAGTTGTATGTGCTTATCTATATTGCCTGAATGCATGTAATGTTTTATTAGCGTAGAAGGCGTTGATGTGAGTACTTTACTTTAATGATTTTTACGTTGACAAAGGCTGGTGGACTCGACATGCTTACACTAGACAGCCTATATGATGATGCAATCCGAAGAACCAACCAGAATGTTAGCTACAATCCATGGGTACAAGCTCCAACGGCCACTCCCATGATGCCCCAAACTGCTCACGACCCATTCTATGCCTCCAATGTAATGGCTGCACCACCTTCCGTGCAGATGGCAGCCATGGCCAACCAACAACAGGCTTTCATCTACCACCAGCAGCAGATGATGATGATGATGAGGCCACAGCAGCCCACAAACCCTTTTGAAACCCCGTATGGAGCCAGTAGCCAGCCTTACGGCTCAGGTATGCCAACTCGAGCTTATAATCCTCATCCAAGCCTTACTTGAGTTGAGTAATTCCCACGGGAACGTTATTTTGTTGGAAATTTGAGGAGGACAAATATGAATTTGTAGTTAGTACTGAATTTTACACTGGACAGCTATCTAAAGATAGATGATTTGTATCATATGATGTGTCCAAAGTATAGGAAGGGATTAAATTAGTTGTTTCAATAATTAAGTAGAAACAATTATTCTGCCTTCTGAAAATAACTTGAACCTTGAGGCAGTTGGTTTCGGTGTATGAACGTCTTTGCATTATTAACTAACTAACAGCAAATATGGCTGGCTGGTAATTTACTGAGACTATATAAGATTTTGGAATTATCGTTTAATGAAATATACTAAAGATTGTGCCACGTTTCCACTAAATTCTAAATTTTGAGTTGGCTAAATGAATCTCTTTTTCACCACTTCATTCGATTCATTTGTAAATCAAGTTCTTAGGAGAAACGAAAATATAATTATCAGAATAAATATTCATTCTGCTCATCACAATGTTGAATGGAGTTATTTGTTCTTTGGTGGGATGCACTATTTACTGCAGTAGGTGGGGGTACTTTTAAAAATGGTGTTGTCAAAGAAGGGAAATTTCATTTTGACTTGTTGAACTCTTAAAATGATGACAATGACCTATTGAGTGTTAAAAGACAAAAATGCCTTTAAGTGTATTATGTAACTACGAAAGAAGGTTTTGTTTAAAAGACATTATTATCCTTTTGTTAACAAATAAAAGTCAAAACACTTCCCATTTAAAATATCAAAAGCAGCAAACTTCTCATATCTATTTATTTCAATACAGATAAAAACGCTTTCATCTTTCATTTGCTAGAAGCTCAAGATTTGAAAAATTCATTGAATGCGATAACTGAAATTTTGTTAATAGATCAGCAAATTTATAATACGCATATTTAATTTTGTTTTCGTTAAATTATTTTATGTTTGCATAGATAAAATTTATTTCAACATATATATTAATATAGATAGTTTTATTAATAGATCTGTGAAAAATTTTAAGCATTTGACGAAAAAAATTCATTTGCATTAATACTAAAAAATTAATCTGCAAAAGTTTGGTGTGTTTATTCTGCTAGAAAGCGAATTTGAACTGTTGGCTGTCCAAACAGTTGAAAAAACCCGTTTGGATAGTCGGACTATTTAACAGCCGACTGGACAGTCAGATGAACAATCGGCTGGAACAGTTGAAATCGACTGTCCAGTCGACTCGAACATAAAAATAGTTGGCTGTTTTTTTAACAGACGGTTGTTTCTTAATAGCTGTTTTAATTTTAATTTTTTTCCTCTATTTCGTTCAATATTTCTTGCAATTAAAAATTCTTTTTCGTCACGTAGATAAGGTTGTAGTCCCAGTTTGTTACTTTAGTGATTTCGAATTGGACGAAAGAAATCGATGGGCAAGAAAATGGACAAGCGATAAACTTGGTGGTTTCTCAATTTTCATAACAGAATTAATAATGTATGCAGAATTCTATAATCTTTTATAGAACAAGCTAAATATCGAATTCTCTCAGTATGACATGGAATTAAAATTTAAATTCAGCGATCATGAAGTTTCGAGTCTACCTATGACGATTTTTTCTGATGTTGAAGTAAATTATTTGTTCAAAATGAATAATAGACACTCGACTCCTGTTTGCGTGACTTTAGTGAGGAAATATGTAGTCGAAGGTGAATAAATATACTCAGATGGAGGGGATAACAATACTAATAATTTTTGGGATACGGTCCAAATAGCTCTTGAAGATGATGTGGTTATTCTAGAGATAGTTACTCACAAAATTCCGTCTGTGGTTCACGACAATGAGTGTGAAAATGCAAATATTTTACAGACGAGGATTTGATCGCTTTATCCTGACAGAGACATGAGCGAGGTGGGACCTCAGGGACTGGATCGAGTGGACCGTCCTCTAATTCCTCTCATGTGGTTCCCAATAGTAAGGATTTGTATGTCGAGCAACTATTTGAAATGAAAAAAGATTTCCAGGAAGCTGTGCACCTAATTGAGTTGAAATACAATTTTGAATTCAAAGTGAAAAAATCGAACAAGTCGTTGTTGACAATTGTCTGCGTAGACGATAGTTGCCATTGACGTTTGCAAGCGACGAAAATGAACACGAATGAGTGCTTTGTAGTTCGCAAGCACACACGAAAACATACTTATGAAGTGAGATTACGTTGAAATGATCACATGCATGCCCGAGCTTGGTTTATTGATCGATAGATAATGCACAAGTATCAGCAGGATTCTCGTATGATCTACAGACCATCGGACATCATTAACGATGTCCGTTGAGAGTACGGAGTAGTCTTGAGCTACCAGAAGGCCTGGAAGGCCAAGGAATGCGTTTGAGGATTTAATGGACTCTGCAAAGGAAAGTTATGCTAAATTGGCCAAGTATTGCCATAACATGGAGAAAACTAATCCTGGCTCAGAATTTTTTATTGAGACGGAGGGTTGGAATTGCTTCAAATTCTTCTTCATGGCTCTTGGATAATATATTCGGGAATTTCGAAATGCAATGCGACTTCTAATTTTAGTTGATGGTACAATATTGAAATCTAAATATCAAGGCAAGTTGATTATTGCTACATGTCAAGATGCCAACATCCAAATTTACTCTCTTACGTTCGGCATAGTCGATAGTGAGAATGAACTGTCGATGCGGTGGTTCTTCATAAAGTTAAGGGAAGTAATCGGGGAAGTTGAGAACCTTGAATTTGTAACAGATCGGAGACAGCCTTTAATAAATGGTATCGCTGAAGTTTTTTCAGATGCACATCATGGGTATTGCATGTATCATATTCAAGGTAATCTGAAGATCAGGTATCAGGGCAAATGTATCGTTTTACTGTTCAGGAGAGCGATTGAAGCTTACAGTGTTGAAGAGTGTAATAAATTCATGGTTGAAATAGGAAGTAAATCATTCAATGCATGGGATTATCTAACGAAAATAGGGATTGAACATTGGACGCGCTCGTTTTTTCTAGGACGTTGATACAACATGATGACGTCAAACATCGCGGAGTCTCTCAATGCATTATTCAAGAATGATCGAGAATTAACCATTCTTGCACTGATTGAGAATATTCGTACCAAGCTGCAATAGTGGTTTCACTATCGACGTGCGGAATCACAAAATTGCATAAGTGTACTAGCCCCGGCGCAAGAGGAAAATCAATTCGAAGTTGTAGAACTTGCAAGACAGTTGAATGTCGAACCACTAGACGAGTCGCGCTTCTTAGTGGAATTTGCACGTAATACGACATACATGATGGACTTGACTGATAATACATGCGGTTGTAAAAGATTTTAGTTGGAGACTTTTCCGTGTAAGCATGCAGTCGCGGCTGCTATGTATCGAGGATTTGCAGCAAGAACATTGTGCTCTCATTACTACATGGCTGATTATTGGAAAGCTGCGTATGCTGAGACAATATTTCCTCTACCAAATGAAGTTGAGTGGGAAATCTCCGACCATATTCGCCTACTCAATGCATTGTTGCCACCTCTCATTGAACCGCGTGGTCTTGAACGTCCAAGTACGTTTAGAATACCATCTACCGGAGAATTTCCTCGATCGCGTAGGTGCAGTCGGTGCAAATTAGTAGGACATACTCGCCAATATTATACAAATCATATTCCTCTAAATGATAGTTAGATCATTTGGTAATGTTGTCAATCTAAATTAAACAGTGTTTACATTTATTATACGATAACAAATTAATTGCCATCATAGTTAATAATCATTTCATAATCTATCACAGTGTGTTACAAACATTTCGTAAGTACAACAAATCAATATTTACAGTGTTCACAATTATTTCGTAATTACAAAATAATTACTACTAATAATTACAATAAATTTATGGATCATCATTAAAATAGAATAAGTCGCACGCCAATTTATTCCGCCAACTTTGTATCCAGGATGGTTGATTCTATCAACCTTATGTGCTATACTCAGAAATTCGATGTACTTTATTGTAAAAATACCACAATCGCCCCTGTAAATGAATAAAAATTAGTTCGATCAGTACCGTGCAGCAAAAAAAAAATTAAGTATTACATTTTAAAAAATTTAGAACCACTTACGATATTGTCTGTCTCACTGTGGTTGTGTCCCGCACGATGGCTAATCTGTCATTCACAATCACTTCAGCCTGTCTAGCTATCATATGGACAAAAATAGCAATGGGCTCCAAATTTTGCTTGAGCTGACTTTGTGTTGGATATGAATGATCGAGGTCGTACACGTATATAATAGACTCAGGGAACACAATCTCTAAGGCCATGCAGTGATGATTTACGATCACTGGTATGTACATGTGTACAACCCTCCCATGACTTCTCCCCGACACGTGGCCACATCCCTATGGTCCACTCGAGCATGTAGTCGGGCACCGCGTACTCCTTACCGGCATGTTGGAGCGACTGGTACTCAATGTCAATCTTCGTCCGAACTCCAAATTGAGTATGACTCGGTTAGGACTGTCAAATGAGCTCGGATATCTTTGAACTCGATCATGCAACAAGTCCATGGCCAGGTCGATGTGCTACATTAAAAAATAGCAATACAAAATGAAGTTATTTCATTACATAAACAAACTATGATAAACAAGTCATAAAAATTAACATTATGACTATTTCACTTACATCGTTGGCAAGTTAGGCTCCTAAAGTGATGATGTTGTGGAACAACTTCTAAGTATCGGAGATCGTCACAATACAGATCGTATGACTGGTCCTGACAAAAGAAATAGAGAAATGTTAAAAAAGCGTATAGATGTAATGTAACGATCACTGGTATGTACTAATATCACTAATATCATGAATACTAACCCGGACAACATTCTTCTGCACTCCGTCTCGAATGCTTTCCACTTGGCATGGTCTACCTCCCGAAATAGGTTGGGAATCGTCCTATCGACGAACCTCCTCCTCTTCGTCTCAGTCGTGAAGGGAGAGACAATGTATTGTGATGGCACTCTCGGCCTCTTGCCTACCACCAGCTCCGGTAAGTCAATAGCACGCTTTTTCGGCCCAGTCACGCCCGTCGTCCTCCCCTCACCCACCTCGGGCATTGTTCCCTCCTCTGTTCCGACGATTGCCACATTCTCCACGCTCTCCTCCTCCGTCCCCGTCGTCACCACCTCCTCGACCATAGTTCCCGTCCTTGAGGGACCCACCCTCTCATCTACCCGTGTCAACACCACTTCCTCGACCCCCTCATCTGCTATCGTCGGCACCA